AAAATTCTTAAATAAATATATAGAAATAAAGAAAGAAAAATCTAAACAGCAAGGGAAATTATACCATGTCTGTCCTGATGTATGTTTTGTAATATAAACTGTCGTACAAAACATAAAGAATTAAAAAAAGACACCTAAAAAGAGGTCCTACAATGAATAAATAAATAAATTTAAAATAAAGTAAATTTAGATTTAAATTTAGAGGATTTTCACAGCTTTACCTTGCCATTGTACAGCCTTTTCCAACTGGGAAGTGAACCTATGTCAAAGCCAGACTCCATTGACAAAATCCCTAATTTTACTCCAGCTTCTGATCTACTGCTGCCTCAATTGGTTAGGCTGTAAAGTAAAGCAGAGAAAATTCTCCCAATATAGCATACACTAAAAATTATCCTTTCTTTCTTTCTTTCTTCATTTTTCTAAGGTGGCTAAAATGTCCAAAGAAAAACACAGCAGAGACTTTAGATAGGTCAGACCTCTGTGTGTAACAATATATCTTTTTACATATGGCTGAACATCAACAGAAATAAACAAGGTTGCAAATTACACGACTCCGCAATTGAAATGAATTGCCAGTTGTTGAACTGGAAATTATTATTGTTGGTAGCGCAGTGTCACAGTGATTCACTCTATAGTTATTTCTGTCTGGACAAAAAGGATAGACAGACTAACTGACCAACCATCAGGCCTATGTTGTTATTCAAAGTGCTATGCTGCTAGTGTGAGTAGAAAAGTTTGAAAGGCAAGAAATAAAAAAATAAAAAAAATCTTGACTTATCAATACCAAAAAATCCTGGAGGACATATTTGCTTCTGTCTTTTATTTATTTCTCAAAGTTACCCTTGTAAAAGAAAACAGAATCTCCTCCGCTTTCTTTGAAAATTTTTCACTGAAGATTCTCATATAGACATCTGTTAGGTATGTATTTTTATTACTTTCAAGCATCCTCGGGTAAATGCTCTCAGATCTGCTGCCAATTACTTGTGAAAAATCTCAACTCAAACACGTTCTCGGCTTTGTCTCTAAAGTTGCCACCCATCAATCTTCACTCCCCTTCCTCTCTCCTTTATCTCCCTTTTCTCCTTCTCTTTGTCATGCCGACTCAGAGCTCTGTTTTCTTGTGTTTGTTTTGTTCTCTGATTCTCATTCGTCTCCCGTTTACTTCCATTACTCACAGGAGACTTGGAGGGGAGAGAAAAAGTTGCCTTTAGGCCGGGTTGCAACCAAGAGAGGGTGCTTCTCCCATAAGTGCTTTTTCATGTTGTCGGGTGTTTGGTCTGCGATAGTTTCTGCCTCTGGTGTTTGCTAAACCAAAGCTGCGTTTGACGGCTACACAGACGGCATTTGACTGTGAACTGATGGATTTCAAACACGGCTAAATTAAGACACATTCTGTCATGCTGCCAGAATTTGCTCCTGTTTTCTTCAGACGTAGGCATTTTAAAGGCCCTTTATGGGTATCGGTGCATACGTGTTGTCCATCAGAAGTCCTCAGAAGCAATACCTCGCAGAGCAGACACAAGGTCAACTCTATGCTGGAAGCCTCTCGATCAATATGCTCAGACGTTTGAGAGGCTCGGCCCAGTTATTTTCCCACTGATGCTTTCAGCTCTCGTTGTTTTCTTCCCCCAACTTTTCTTTTATTCCCCCCGTCAGATATTTCCCTGTACGTCATGACAGCACTCAGTTTTCCTCTTGAATTGGCCTTCACCACAACAAAAATGCCAACCAATCACCTGGAGACTCAAGAAAAGAAAACTCTAGACTCAGAATTTGCTTGAAGCATCTGGGGATTAAGATTGAAGTGTTTGGATTATGGATTATCATATTGTTTCGATTTAAGGACGTACTTAAGAACGACAACACAAAGGACAGAGTAATCATGATGTCAGTGTGAAGGGTGGCGCCCCATTGTGATTGACTTAGCGGACGGGCCAGGAGGGGTCTTATCTCTCGAATCAGGAAATTGAATTATGAAACAAAGTGACCCAATGAAAAGGGTTGCAGTGACAGTATGGAGCTGCGGGGGTTAAGCCAGTTTGAAGGGCTGGCACTTCACCTAAAGGTTTCTTAATTAGATTGGCTGACAAAAGCACCGAGGCTGCTTGCGGTGCATGTGAGTGTGTGAGAAAGAGAAAGTGGACGTGTAGTGGTAAGATCGCCCCATTTTGTGGCTATGAGAGAGTTAGTTTTGAAGTTATCTTAAAAAATGCTTCAAAATGACCATTTCAATAACTTACTGCCTGTCAACTTGAATTCGGGATTACAACTTTGTTGTTCTTGCACGTCTCCTCGGTGAATGGAAAATCAGAAAAAGACAAACATTCCTCATCAACTACATCAAAACATCCGTTTACAAACTCGCACACAACTCGTGCAGTATGATCCAAGTCTCATTTATCAAGTCATATGCTCAGCACTTCCCGAGTTCTTCCCCCAACAATTTTCACTAAACCATGACAATTTAAAACACATCAGTAGAAACAGTCTCAACCAGTGTGCCTGGGCTCATTCCCAGGCACACTCAGGGCACGCCACACGTAGGTGGAAGTGTTTTATATTGTAACATTTGGCAAAACTGCATGTGTTAGGGAAGCTGAGCATACGGCTGGATAAATGAGACTTGGATTACACTGCACAAGTTGTGTGTGAGTTCGTAAACAGATGTTTTGATGTAGTTTTGCTGTTGTTAAATGTGGAGCCTGATCACTTCAAATCATGACGAACGTTTATTGGATTCTCTATCGCGGAGGCATGCAGGAAAAAAGTGTTCTTGACGAATTCAAGGTAACACACAGTGAGTAACAGATATACAAGTGGTTTTTCTGCAAGTGAAGGGTTCTTTTTAGGAGGCCACAAGTGCCAAAGTTTGTTCATTTCTACAAATAATAAGCACAAAGTTTTGGATGATTCTGTAAAACCTTGGATCGTGTTCACGGTCAGCGCCAATCTTTTTGAAAATCATGTTTTCTTGTACTTGGGAACTGTGGAATGGTTAAGGCTTGGGAAAAACTGCGGCAGCAGCAAATAAACTAGGGCTGAGGTGTGGTTAGAAGGGAATCCAATCAAATTTTGGGCCTTGATTACAACCCAAGTCTTATAATATTGGCTGTTTGCATGTGCTGAGTCCAGTCTCATTGCTGCCCAATGCATGTTTAAGCTACAACCTGAAAATATTATCAAATAGAACTTCATCCTGAAAGTTATTTTGATGATTTTATATGTGATTTTGCATCAAGATGCATGTAAAAATCTGAAATATATTCATTTCAGTGCCTATGTGTGCATTTATTCTGCTTTTTCTTACTTTAAGAAAATTTTAAAAGCCTTCAGTTTGATCTCAAAAGTATGCAGATAACTTGTACATGAAGGACAAACTGCTTTCAGCACTAACTGTGAATGTTGGCACTGAAACTAAAATGGTCCAATATGGCTGTAATTCCTACAGTACCAGGCTAACATTACAAACATTTCTGTGGATCTGATTGTAGATCTGAAGCTTCACATTAATGGCAAGCTCAGCAATTATCCACATGCTGGAAAGTCTTTTTTTTCCACCATCTGTGCTGCATTTTGACCCCTACAAAGGATCGTGGGCTGGAATGCCTGCGAGACCACTTTCTTGGGCCATCTACCCGAGCAGTCGAAGTCAGAGGAGAGGCTTTACTGACAGAGGTGTTGGATTGTGCTGATTTTGTTAATAGAGAGGCCGCATTCCAGACAAATCGTGGCCACTACCTGAACTTTCAACGTGACTCTGCTTACATAGGTGAGCCAAGTCCAGCAGACAGCCAGCTTTTCTTTTCCGTGTGACCTGCGCTCTCACACTCCCCCAGTCTGGCTTTCTTCTTCACACTTTTCTGTCCTCCTTTTTGCTTGAAGTCACAGCTGCATTCAGTTATTTGTCCTACTCACCCTCCCTGTTTATTTCAGCAACACACCCTCTTCTTTCACGCCATTTTAGCAGCGTCCACAGATGATGAATCCCAGCGGCTTTTGATCCCTTCCTTGATTTTCCTATTAGCACCGCCATGAGGATGACATTTGTGAAATATCTTGAAAAGCTTAAGTTGTTTCCCGGGTCAAGAGTAAACATACATGCTTAAATAACACTTGTGTATATGTAAATGCATTATTTTTTAATATTCAAATACCATACCAAGTTTCAAAAATCTAAAAGAAACCCAACCGTTCTCAGACTGGGGCAAATTTATCAGACTTGTCCTCAGTAATCTTTTTTCATCTTCCCTTCTAAGCTTGCCAAAAATCTGCGAAGGAGGCACACTTTCCCTCCGAGGCCGATAAACATCTCCCACTGCAAACTTCAGAGCTTTAATGTATGCACGCCTTGTGCTGGTGATTTCTCAGGAAATGTGTAAAACGCCATTTGGCTTCAACATTGAGCTACAGCTCCGTTTCTAAAACTGTCCTTTCTCCCTCCCCTCTCTCCTGGGCCCTTATCAAAGACTCAGGACAATCAGTGGTTTATCGCTGCTGGAAGTGAGTGCAGGAAGCAGATGTTGTTCTGATTAAACACACACACACACACACATCCACACACACAACACAACGCGCCAAGTGAGCAGTGCTCGCTGCTGCTCCAAGGCCTGAGAGGAGTTGCGGGGCCAAGTGTTGGAGTCCACAATCATGATATCTGCTGAGCATGTGCTGCAGAGGGGACACGCTGCCAACAGACTGGATTTAAAAAAAAAAAAAATCATGTGTGTTTAGGGTACACAGAGCGACAGTGAAAGATAGAAAGCAAAAACGAGGCCAAGAAAGTGCTGGATGTGCTACCTTGGCCTCCTCCTTCTGTTACATAACCCCTCCATTATGTGCAATCATATAATGTAGTAATCAATGCATGATAGTTTGGTAATCAGCTCTCCTCTGCAGACATAATGACCGCAGTAACTGATGACAATGCCGATGGCCTTTGCATCAGACGCTGCCAGCGTCCGTGTGTGTGTGTGTGTGAATGAGAGGCGGGGAGATTTTCATATGGTTTCTACTTTATTAAGAATGCACTTTGGCACCCCTTTATTTTCTTCACTTTAGGCTATTATTTTACAAACTAGATATAAAAGGACATAAATAAATGACATAAGTTACATGTACCTAGAGCTCCTTGACATAAACAAAATAAAACAAGGCCAAAAAACAAGAAAAAAAAAACATGATCATGTCAAAAAAAAAATGTACAAAAGAAGATTGGGAGAATGTTAGATCTACATGGCTAGATCATATGGCATCGGAAGGCATACAATGACAAACATTAACTCTTGCGTTTTGTTAATTTTTTTTTTTTCTTTTTCTTTTCAAATCGTCCAACATTTAAGTAAAGGAAAAAAGTATTTTACAGTACATTCTGGTTTCCTTCTCCTTCCCAACATGTCTTGCATATTTCCAAACAGGTCCTTTTTTTCGATAGATAAAACCCAAAAGAACATTGCCAAAAAAGGAAAGAGCAGAAGAGCTGTATTAAGGACGGAGGTGTTTTTGTAGTATATGAAGCGTCATTTAGGAGTTCAAAAACATTCGCATAAGTATAGTTTAAAGAGATAAAGGAACAAAAGGAATATAGTCCATTGGGTTAAACCTGTAGCTGTATGATGTGCTCTGGAAAAAATAAAAATAATCAGTTTTCCCTTCTTAAACACCTTTTTCCTCACTTCTCTGATCCTTTGTAGTGTACAGGCGCGTCATTTCAAACTGCTCCCATTTCCACAGAGAGAGACGGTTCCCACATGTTCTCCTTAAATTGTCACAAGCTCGGAGAGTCCAAACTCTCGGCGTGTTTCTATGCACAGGAAGGTTTTAGTCACACTTGTCTGTGTCACCGTGTGTCCATTTTGCAGGCCGCTGTTACTGCCAAAGCAGAATTGCGTTGCATTCCAGAAAGCTGTTTAATAAATGCTGTTGCTGAGTAGCGGGGTCGCACAACGGGAGCAACACACCTCACATCGTTTTTTTAGACGACACAAAAGCAAAGAACAAAAATAAAAACAGGCTTTTTTCTTTCTCCATGTCAAAAACAATACATCTCTGTTATCTTCTCTTCCTCCACAGTGGCATGAAAACAGACACAATTACTGATAGTACTTCAAAGACGTCACTCATACAGCAACACACACACACACACACACATTTGTGCACACACATCATCACATTCGCACGCTCAAATCAAACGTTTGTTACTTTACATGCAAACAAAACAATGATAAACCCCCCTCCAAAAAAAAAAAAAAAAAAAAAAAAATCACAAAAGAAAAACAACTTTCAAAATAAAAGTACATTATCCGCTGGAGCAGGGCTTCTCGATTATATTACATTCTTCTTATTGTCTCTTTTGTGAGCTGTTAAATCATTCATAGTAATTCCAGTACATCGCTGGACGGCCACAAGAGCGTGGTGGCTAGTTTGTCAAGTTGACACGTCGTGACAGTGGACGTCCCAGACGCTCGGGGATGGACTTGTCGTCTCGGTGTTGGAGGAGACTCCAAGGAGAGGAGGGAAAAAGGAGGAGGAAGACAAAGAGGAAGAATTCTGGCTGTGGCGAGCAAGACCGGGATCCTGTTTGTGATGGACGGCAGCAGCTGGGGAGAAAGGAAAGGGGGAGGGAGAGAGGGGGCTGCATCAGTCATGGTGGTTTTGAATATAAACAATTTCTGCTTGGCATCCAGTCCTGACCAACAATACTGCTCTGCAGCTCCAGTCCCGATGGAACATTCGACTCATCTGCTAAACAAAGTCGAATGCCAGAGCCGGAGCATCCAGAGACTGCGAGCGGCCGCCCTACAGGGGGAAAATATGGATTCTGTGGCAACGATGTATTAACTTGTGTGCACCACATGCTGCTGCGTGTACAGAATATATGAAACATGCCCTTGACTTAATGGCACACATCAAACACACACCAACACACAGTTAACTAGCTTTTGTGTTGAGGAATGCTCTATGTATAGATTCAACAGCCAGTGTGACCGCACAGTGCTTTGTTATAATGCAGAAATATGACAGGAATATGATTAACTGTAGCACAGACACATGCAATATTCAATAAATCTATTGTTTCGTGTAAAAAAAAAAAAGAAAAAAAAACTGCATTTTTTAAATCTATTTTTGCATTAAAGGAAGACAATGCTTTATATACTGAAATATGTTCTGCTTTATATTGCTTTTATACTGTTTTATAATACTTATTCTGCCCACATTTATCAGAAAAAACATCAGAAACAACTCTCAGTATGATGAAAGGCTGCTTCATTAATTAGTAGATCAACAGAAAATTAATCTGCAACTATTTTGCTCATTGCGCCTTCCAAATAAGTTAAAAAATAGCTGCCCACAGATGGCAGAACGGGAGATATGATGAACTCATTGTCTTTGGTTTAGTTGCAAGATGACGCAATGAACTGATTGTCTCAACTGTCGCGTTAATAAAAAATTCAAACAAAAATCCCCAAACTAACATTCCCCAAATGAACAGGCCTTTACAAAAACAAAGTTCAAATCAATGGGGTAATAAACGACTTCATCAAACAATAAAAACTAAGATTAACCAAAAACACGGTGGTTAAAGACTGTAACCCTGTGGTGTCTTACACACTCCACACTCACTGCAGCACACCTGCCTTAATAAAGGTTCCCGAGATGCCAGGTCAGGTGGTGCATTAGAGTGACTCAAAAAATAATGGGAAACTAGGACTTATAAGAAATGCCTCGAACATGATGGGCAACTATTTGTGTCGTTTGCAAGCTTCTTTAATGTGAGGATGTTATGCCTTTAGTTAAATCCGCCAATGTACATGATAAAGAAAAGTAGGCACAGATGGTGTAGGGTGCTACCCTGGTCCCCCTACTAATGTTAAAAAAAATAAAATACAATAAAACATTTGGGAAATGGTGGAATGGAGTACAGGTGAAGAGCATTAGAGCAGAAGAACATTAAAAGCCAAAAGCCATCCAGGACACAGTACAGAAAGATGGCAGCTAAATTTCTAAATTTGCATGTACCATATTCTCTAATTATTTGTTTTTTATCATCAGTTTGTTAGCTAAGTTGTATTTGTGTTATCATTAGCTCTTGTTGGGGGAGTTACCTTGGGCTCTAAATATGCTAGATCTAGCACTGATCATATTTGATAGTAAATTTATTATCTTTGGGTTTGGGACTCTTGGTCGGATCAAAAAAGCTAAGCCGTGGCTCCGGGATGTTACAGTGGGGGATTTCTTTTCACTATTTTCAGACATTTTGTGGAGGAAACAATGAAACAAGAGCATAATTAATAAGGCAGATTAATTTGGATAATTGTTAGTTGCAGCACTATTCAACACAGTCATAAACTAACAAATTACAGCCTCCAAAATAACACTCACATTCAATTTGAACCTCTGTAAACAACAGAAAAATAACCCTCATCAAGGTAGGATTCATTGCAAGTCTGCTGTAGACTGCATTAGCTGGTTATACAGAACCTAACTGCTGAAAATGTGCATAAAATAAATCAAATAAATCAGTGCCGTCACATAAATCAAACCAAAACTGTGTGTGTTAACTGAGAAACCTAAATCCACACTTTATTTACTTGTGATCATGTGTTCATTTGTGCACATCTTCTACTCGGGATATCCAAAAATGGAAATCCTATCCAATCTAAGAGAATATTAGTGTCTGATTTAATTTAAATAAATTAACATGAGAGCGTGCCTTCTACCATGTCAACATATTGGTGTCTTGGCTCAAGAGAAAGCGCCACCCCACAGCACCTTCCCCTCGTTCCTGGAAAGCGTTCCCGAGCTCTGGTGGGCTCTGTTTGGCTGATTGGGAGTCGGTGGCTGATTAATTCTTCTCATTAACATGCCAGCAGCATCAGGCCCGCAGACTGATCACAGACCAGTGGCTATTGATCTGCTCTGGCTGCCTGAGGTGGCGCGACCCACTTGTTAATTAACACAGCTTCTGGAGCTGAGGGGCCAATGATGAGAGAGATGGGGGGGTTTAATGGATCTTTTAGGCACTCTGTGGCGAGACATAGATGATATTAGCAGCATGCTGCAATAATAAATGGGGCTTTAATCCAATATCTTTATTTGTTTTATTTAATAGGGCTGTTTCTGCTGAGTCTTAGTGAGACAAAAAAAACAAGAACACTATCGATCCTCACCTTGATGACGGTTTGAGTAATCCTCCGTGTAGGCATTTGTTTGTTTTCTTGGCGATGATGATGCTGATGATTCTGATTCATTCTGCATCCATATTGCCTTTGTTACATCCTTTTGTCCAAATAGATCCTGGCAATGAGTTCCTTTATTCTCACATCCAATTTAACAAGCCAATTCAACTGGTCCAAACAGCTGTCCATCAGAAGTGGTGAGGAAGAGTCGGAGGCTCCGGCAGTAGCGGGGGGGCCCGGGGCTTTGATTAAGATGGGGAGATGAATGGAAGAATTCAAATTGTGTGTTTATCTGAGGTGTAGGAGGGCATTTTTGGGAAGACAGGGGAGTGGGAAGGCTCCTCTGGAACATCAAAGACATTCTCAGCAACGTCCTGAGGGCAACAAAATACAGCGTTCTGGGAGAAAAACAAGGCCAGAACAGAGCAAGAAACACAAAAAGCGCTCCGATATAAGCCCACCCCTGCACCACCATCTCCCCTCGGAATCCAACCCTCAACCTCTCAGAGATTCACTGTTTACACATGATGGTCAGGATCTTCCATTTTGTCTGTGAGATACCAAACAGATCCAGCTGAGAGAGAACAATGGTGGCCGGGGCAGCCTGCGAGTCCCACAGAAACAATTCATGTACAATAAACACAGTCACAGGAAATCAAAAAAATCTGCTCCGCGGATTATTCCAGAAAGAAAGTTCCAGAAACAACACTCTGCCCAAGAGGAGGAAGAAAGGTACGGTTCCCCCTTCCCTCGCTTTTCCTTCCAGACCATTAAAGGCACTCCAGATTAGCCTCTCGGAAGCACTTTTCCAGCCGTCCCTCCATCTATCCGTAAATGCTGCAGACAGAAGCATTCTCCAAACAAACAAAAAAAGGGCAAGGTAAAGGTCTGATTTTTAAAAAAGTGCCATTTTCACCACTTTTTTTCTTCTTCATCAACATCTTTTCTTTTAGATCCAATTTAAAGTGCATGGATGAGGTAAACTATTTTTTCATAGTTTGTCTTTTTTTTTATATTTAATCTTTTTTGTTATTTATTTATTTTTTTCATAAGAAACGAAGTCGCTTTGCCTCCTTTTTCCATATTCTTTGTCTCAATCTCTCTCAGACGGGAACCATTCTGCCTTGCATCTGTTGCATTTGGGACAGCATTCCCTGGACGCTGGTCAGGATCTTGTTCTGGTGCGCTGCCGAGGAGATGCCTATGCGAGCCATGTCCCTGAAAAGGATGAGGGGAAAGAGGCCTTTTAGGACCGGGGACAACAATAACAAACACACGTAGGCCTGATCCACATGATGGATTTTACAGCCTTCCAGTGGAAACTGGCCTGACAGTTTAACTGCTGTATAAGGAATTACACTTGCCAACACAGCAATCCTAATCCTGTAATCTCAACGGCTGAAAAATGAAAACAGTACAGACAAGTGACAGAGACTGAGAAACATTTAACACATGTAGACTTGGGGAACGAGGTCACAGATTGATTCTGCTGGAATCATAAAGGAATAGTTTGACATTTTGGGGAATACACTGAGCCTAGTTGCTTTCTTGCTGACAGTTAGATCAGGAGATTGGTCCCACTCTCATATCTGTACTCTGAATATGAAGCTACATCCAGCAGAATAGAATAGAGTGCTCCAGGAATGCGCATTTTACAACTGCTGGTTCCCTCGTCTTGAAATCAATGGGGTTTTTTTTAATTCTTTTTTGCCTGAAGAAAGTCTGTGGTTAACACAAGTTTAAGAGACTTTTACGCTTTGTTCTACGAGACAAAGTACATCAGTAAATACCCATCTCCTGAATTTTGAAGCTTTTACATATCTTAAAAAGACGGTTACTAACAAGTGGCTAAGAACTTCATCATGCCGAACATGGCATTACAGCCTCGTTGTGGTGGCGACGTTAAGACATGTGACTGTAGTGTAGTTTGTTTGTAGCCTAATGTTAGCTTTTCACTTCTAGCGGTTGCATTTACGCTTCAAAAATAATCAAAGTGGTGATCATTTGTGAAGATTATCCTGCTGAACAAAATGTGAAGGTGTCAAATTTGTTTGCCACCGAGTTTATTTTCTGTAATCAACCAAAATTCAATGGAAAAATCCCACATGGCTTTTTGACAAGGGAGCCAGGGCGACGCTAACTTCCGTGTCAGCCTACAGAAATACATCATACCAGCAACACTGTAGCGTAGCTTGACTAAAGATTTGAAGCAGGGGTAAGCAGCTAGCTTCATGCTACAACCTCATGTATAAACAAAACTTGATGTTTTTACCTTTTTATTTGTGTATGATTTAAACAAATGAGATTAAAATATGTTCTTTTGTTAAAAATTAGAGAGCTGCTGATGCAGATTATTTACCACAGGACAGAGCCAGGCTAGCTTTTTCCTTCTGTTTCTAGTTTTAATGCTAAGCTAAGCTAACCTGCAGCAGGATGTAGCCTTATATTGAACAACCAGAGTGGTATCAATGTTCTCATCTACGTTTCTGCAAGACAATAAATGTGTATTCCTCAAAATACTCCTTTAATGAGTTTCAATTTATTCAAAATTCAAAATGGTGTTGTTTTAAAATTAAATTACTAATTGTCTTGAAAAAGTCAAGAATCAAGTGTTACCCACTATTATTTTCAAACATGTAAGTAAAATTTTATTGTAACTCTTTGTTCATAGCTGGAATATTATTTTAGCTACTGAGTCATATTCTTCGAGTAGGTGTAAAAAATCAGCCTATAAATTATGACAAACGTTAAATAGATACAGATATAGACATACTCATCAATTTTCTGGACTCAGAGAGAACTAGAGCCCAATTCTTTCTTTAACTGACACTTGTTAAAGTTTTAAGTGAGACTACAGTAAAGAAAATGTTCAACTCTATTCAATGAAATTCACTTTTTGAGAAAAGTTTCTTGTTGCCTAGCTTGCACCTTCTCTCTGTTTACTTCTTGTTTCTGTCTCTCATCTTCTCCCCTCCCTACTCACTCTTGTGTCATGTGGACCACGGCCTCTGGAGTGGTGTAGCCGGCGGCGGTGAAGTTGTCGCTGTATCTCTCCATGCCAATGGCCTGCAGCCAATCCTCCACTGTGCCCATGGCCGAAGATGCCTCGGGGCTCCCTGGCTCCAGCAGGGTGGTGTTAGGCCTGGTGGTGGGTGGAAGGGAGGAAGAGGAAAATTAGTTTCACGAGCTCAAGTTCTTTTAGTATCTACAGATGTTGTCTTTACTGTCAGTGCAGTTCTGCATTTACAGTCAGTGTTTGATGCTGCTGTACTTCAGTCCAACATGTAAGCTGTAGCCTAAAATCATGATGTGTGCAACTGTGTGTGCAGACAGACAATAAAAGTTACATTCTGTTTAAGTGCTTTTGACTTGAAAGGTAATGATAAGCTTTCTTACACAGCCTGGAACGCCACTGATTCATGACAACAGGAGCATCAGCATTACAGGAATTGGAGTTTCCTTAATCCTGTCCATGATGCTGTTGTATCAAAAGGCGTGACGCATTAACCTTGTGCGATGACAGCGAGCTACTCACACGCTGTAAAATGCACCATGCTACATTTCTCCTGAGCTCGTCTGTTGGGTTCAGATCTGTTTTGTTTCCCTGTTTTGTGGGTCCTACCCGAAACAGAGCCAAGCCAAACACGGTTCCTCCTGGGTGTGACCGACACACTTAGTTAATCCTTATTTTACAGAAAACACACACCCCCGGCACACCTCGGTGAATTTTACCACACGGTGGAATTCCCTCTCACATTCAGATATTCATCAGCGGAATTACCTCCTTCTTTTTTCACCTCTTACTCTCCCTGTTTTTCCTATCTTTCCTTTCTGTTGAGCGTTGCAGCAGCGCCGTCGGCCATGAAACATTTACATGGGACCGGTGAGTCGGTGGCGGTCTCGTCACGCTCTGGTAACTCTCTTACGCAAACACACACACACACACACACACACACACCATCTGTCTTTATCACTCTCTTCTTTAAAAAGGATGCTGAGTTGAAGTGTGAGAACAGGATGTCAGACTCTTTAATAAGTCATCTCTACTCAGTAGATGGAAAAGATTATGCATAGGGATCCCCTTTCAAACACACACACACACACACACACACACACTCTATTTTCCCCTTCCCTCTTGTAACTGTAAAAGCTGCATTTATAGGATTCTGTACCGCTAATTACTCCACGAGGACTCCCCTCTCGCTCTCGCTGTGTCCCATTAGGTGATTGTGTGTGTGTGTGTGTGTGTGTGAGAGACTCGCTTGCACGAGCTCACACACTCATTAAACTCAAACAGACTCCCAGCGACCTGCGTCGAGTCTGTAAACACACGTAGGTCATTCTTAACACATTTAGCCGCTCAAGAGTAATGGTGTTGGAGCTGAGGGGTCATGTTTGTTTTTAACTCGCCGTTACATCGTAATTCCCCCCCCCCGTTAGAGCGCCTACATTCCTGAGTGTACAGCACCATTAAAACTAGTTTGCAGAGAAATCCATTACGGAGGGTGTTTGCGGTGAAAAGAGCCACACGTTGCTGGTAGATAATGTTTAATGGTGAATGTAAACACCGGCTAGAGAATAGGAGAGTACGTGTGTGTGTGTGTGTGTGGGTGGGTGTGTGTGTGTGTGTGTGTGTGTGTGTGTGTTTTCATGCTGGTGTGAGAGGTAGAAAACTGCAGGTGATGCATTGTGCATTAAATTAAATAGGCTGCATATGTTTTTTTTAATGCACATTAGTGTTTTTTAACACAACATATTTGTGGTTGCTGCTGTGAGCTTAATGTGAAATTCCACAACTTTTCCATACTTTTAAAGACAGGTGGAGCGTTCAGTGGTGGAGCCGTGCAGCGGTTATGAAGTGTTATTTTTAGTTTAGTTTACAGTAGTTCAGTCAGGCTAAAATCACACATAGTGATGCAAAGAATGTGTGAAATAAATTTGTGTAATAGTCATAATCCTGAATAATGTGACCCCTCATATGATGAAAATACTCAGAGAATTTATCACATTAATAAAGTGTCACAAATTGGCTCAGTAAATGTGACAACTTGGGAGTCCACACCAAATATTTACTTAAAACAAGCAGAATTTATCAAACTAAACTCAACCAATGGAGTGTGCCGGTCAGCAAAGTCAGTTAGCTGCAGGAAGGGAGAGACCGAGTGAACACATGAGGCAGCTTTTATAGCCTGGAGGACCAGGTGAGCCTAATCAATGCAACGACCCTCCCCTGCAGCCAATTACCTGATGAGGCTGGCTGGAGCATTCTCAGAGACAGTGGGAGGGACGTCACAAATGTTTGTCACAGTTGCAACACAAGATATTTTCCTGTGTTATTAACTGTAGTGGTATAACCAGTTTTATAGACACAATTTCTTCAGTCAAAAGTATTTTTTAATAAAATATTTATAGTGTTTTCTGTGGGCTGCGACTGGAATTTGGCGCTGGGATGCAGCAAATAGAAACCAAAGCTTTATGCATGTGAAGTGAGACAATATGTTTCCATGATCTGTGTGAACCAACCCTTTAACACCACATCTATCTGGCGTCTGTGTGCGTCATGCCCTCTCACCTGACAGCGGTCTCTCCCCCAGTCCTCTTCAGAGTGTTTGGGTTGCGGATCAGCTTATCCAGCATGTTGACGATCTGTCCAAACTTTGGCCGGTCGGCCCTCTCTCGCTGCCAGCAGTCCAGCATGAGCTGGTGGAGCGCCACAGGGCAGTCCATGGGTGGGGGCAGCCGATAGCCCTCGTCGATAGCCTTGATCACCTAGACAGTGGATCAATGGTGCTTTAAGTCACTTTGTGTGGAAAGAGTTGAACTGACTTAAAAACTGGAGGCAGTTTGATTACAGCAATGTTGTTTTCCCCCCTAATTTTATACCCATAGCAGTTTTTAGTCACCTTAATTTAAGCACCTACGCCAGACATTTGGTTACGAATAAATTAAATTCTTTATCATCATTAGTGCCACTAGAATTGTGAATTTAACACGTAATGAGAAAAGGGAATATACTGCTGCTGTTCTATCACCCCAGCAGGTAATTTGATTATATAACCAAGTTAAAATGATGAAGTGTCTTTTAAAAATATTTGACAGTACGCATGCAACTGGGAATTATTGCTCAGCCTCCAATATTCACACAAATCATTCAAGCTGTATATTATTGATGTTTCACTGCATTTAATTAAATTTCTTCACTTACATCTTGGTTGCTCATGTCCCAGTATGGTCGCTCGCCGTATGACATCACCTCCCACATGACGATGCCATAGCTCCACACGTCGCTGGCCGAGGTGAACTTCCTGTAAGCGATGGCCTCGGGGGCCGTCCAGCGGATGGGGATCTTCCCTCCCTGTAATTGAAAGATGGGCTGATTAATGAAAGCTGACAAAGCAGACAAGCAAGGTGACACACGGGCAGACCACCGAGTCAGTCGGACACATGCTCGCCCACGCACACACACGACTCACCCTGGTGGTGTACGCAGCCTCGGGGTCGTCCTCCAGCACTCGGGACATGCCGAAGTCGGACACCTTGCACACCAGGTTGCTGTTGACCAGGATGTTGCGAGCCGCCAGGTCGCGGTGGACGTAGCTCATGTCTGACAGGTACTTCATGCCTGATGCGATGCCGCGCAGGATGCCGACCAGCTGGATCACGGTGAAGCGGCCGTCGTTCTTCTGCAGAGTAAGAAAGGGAAAATGTTTCAACATTGTGTCTCATTTCATTTCACTGACATCTTAAATGTTTTTGAATGTGTTTAACATTTAACTGAGCCTTTTTCCAGTGGCAATAATGCCCAATACTGCTCAGTTATGCATGAGCAAATTCAGTCTCATATTAATAAATGGTTTTATAACACACTATAAAACACTACAATGGGGCTATAAAAAAATATGGAGACATTTCTTCACTTATATTACAGCTTAGGTTGTTTTGTTTCATACAGGTCGAAGTGTTTATTAATGTATTTTTAAATAATTATATAAAATGTTAAAGAAAGTTTGATAACACAGTATAACTGAGCCATATGGATACACAAACACATCCTTATAATGTGCTGTGAGACATTTACTAATATTGTAGTTGGTAATTTTCATAACTAAATAACTTTTGTCATATTTTCTGAAACTGATGCTATATTCACACAGCACTTAAGGGTCCACACGGTGTTTTTTCTCTCAGCGTTGCCGTCTTTTTTCAATTGTTATCAATAAAGAGCGATCGTATGGGCTGCATGGGGCCATCGAGAGAAAGCGTTGCGGCCAGCGTCTGCGGCTGCTCTGAGCACTTCAACTTGAAATTAACCGGCAATGTCTCTGCTGTTTCTTTAGCAAGGTTACTGTCTCCATAAGTTGACTGTGTAGTCAACCCTCTGTGTAGTCAAAAAAGTGCCCAAAACAGCCAATCTGAGCCGTGGAGTCTCTATCACAGCTGTCAATTATGTCAATCACTCGTGACCTGCGGTTGGAGTGTCAAACTAGGCAGCGCTGATCAAATGTGAAGTAAGATTATGTTACTGCATAACCTATTTCTCTCCTCAGATGTTTTCAGAAACATATTTTAGTGCACTGTTTAGCTGTAAAATGAGAAAAACAGTTTCCAACATGGCTGCTGTCACAGTCACAGTCCTTCTCAAAGTATGTTTCTGAAAACACTTGAGGGGAAAAACAGGCAATGCGATAACATAATCTTATCTTTTAAAGATTATTTTTTGACAGTTTCCCTTTATTGATAGTGCAACTCAAGATAGATAGGAAATGTGTGTGTGTGTGTGTGTGTGTGTGTGTGAGTGGGTGGATAGGTTGGTGGCAGGGGGGCATGCGGTAAAGGCCCACCGGTTGGAATCGAGCTCAAGCCACTGCAAAAGCCTCGATCTACATGAGACGTACACTCTACCAGGGGAGCTAAAAGTCACTCGACAGTAACAGAATCTATACTGTAAATGCGTTTGGAACTCAAGACATATTGTTATGTAAGATTAAAACTATATTACAGTGTGTTATTAAGCATTTGTTAACTGTTTATACACCAGTGATGAATGTGTCATAAATGGACGTATGGTCACTGGTACAAACACTTGTATACAAACTACTATTGTGCAACATAATTTAGCACCACATGTTCCCTTTTAACGTTCCTGTGTTGCTCTAACACTGCGTAGATTCCCTGGATAAAGTCGCTAAGCGTCATCTAAAACCCAAAGTGTAGTGAACCCTGGAAACACCGAGGTAAAACCTGCGCCAACCTCCTTGTCGGAAAAACAGTAAGTCGATCGAGGGGGGGATAAAGATTAGGGCGAATGTTTGTGAGTGAACGCTTGTAATTTTGGGGGATGACATTACACAGATAAGATGGGATCAGCACGCTACGGTCGTATCGCACGCTCACACACACGTGTGCAGACAGAAACGCATGACTGACCCTCAGGAATGCATCCAGCGATCCGTTCTCCATGTACTCCGTGATAATCATCACTGGCTTACCTAGAGAGAGAGAGAACGAGAGAGAGAATGAAAGTCAGATGATTATAGAGGTAAACGATGCACATCACAGCCCGATACAGCTGGGGGGGGGTCTCGAGGGAATGTGTGTATGTGTGTGTGAGTGTGTATTAGGCCATCCATCTCTGTCCCGTAGTGATTTAATTAGCTCAGTGTTACGGTTGCCCCGACGTTCCCCTTCTTTCCCTGCACATGCAAAGGCATCTCCACTGAAACACAACACCACGACACACACACACACACACACACACACACACACACACACACACACACACACACACCATCTTGTGTTTATGCAAATATGAACTGACGTTGGACACATTATCCAAAGTCTCATCACAGCCACTCACCCAGAATCCCTCTGACTAGCTATTTATGTCACTCACTGTCCCTTTGCCCTCTTTCTCCTCTGCCAACTTTCGACGCATCTGTCACTCTCCTGCTAGCTCCTCTCTGTTGCTTTCTTTTTTCCTCCCTCTGTCTCACTCTCTTTCCCCCCGATCCCTGCCACTCCTCTCTGGCCTTTTTCACCTCATCCCTCTGTCTTCCTCTCTCCGTCTCTCTTGGGGGAGCGTCTGTGTCTTTATCTGAGCCGGGGCAGGCGGTGGGGAGGGTGGACATTCCCTGGTGGGTCTCTGTCTGTCTTTGTCTCTCAGGATGAGGGGGGATAGCGGTCATGAGGAGAGAAGAGGAGAGGAGAGGAGAGAAAGAGAGAGGGGGAAAAAAGGAATGGAAGGGAGGGTGGCTTGTTTTTGTCCCGAAATGGCAGCAAGCTGGTGCCTAACCAGCCATGGCAACAACACATGCTGAAAAGTGCTGCCACGAATTCCTCCAAGAACGGCGCTGCTCTTTGCGTTCCATTTCAAGTGGCACAGTTAAGGTGGACTTAAAAGCTTATTGCGTTGAAGAGAAGTGCTGACTTAAAGCTAATGCCTAGCGGGGAGGTTGTGTGAAATCTCTTGTGCGCTCCAGCAGAATGCCGAAAGCAGCAGAGAGCCGGCCAAGTGGTTGGCAGCTGAGGTCTTGAAGGTGAAGTTCCTCCACTCCACAGCAGGCCTCTCAGGCTGCCAAGAGGCCGTCAGTCACCGCCTTACCCGCCGCGTGATTGGCACTCCATTAATTACGGGGCGCTCCGGCAATGCCCCAAAAAGAGGAAGTGGAGTTAAAGTTGGGGGAGAGCGGGGGCCTTCTTTGTCAGCCATCTTTGTTCCCTTTGTTGCTTGCCTCTGCCCTGGGGCCGCCGGTGATTGACAGCTCCCCAATCAAGTCTGAGGAGCGTCTGACCTGCGACCTTAAACTCTCGCCTTCCCAGCCCCGCCCTCTTCCTCCCTTCCCATTTGCATGCTAATTCCTTGTTTACTGAATACGCCCTGCCGCCTTTGGCAATGAACTCTGGGCAAGGGCCCCGCCAGTGGGCCGATTATCACCTGCCAACAAAACAGGGGAAGGGGAGAAACGCAACAGGGGGACAATATTGGGGGGACGTTGGGCAAACGCTCCACGGAGGCCCTGGCGTTTGCAGCGGACAAAGATGTGGCTTTTAAACGCGGATCTTTTTTAAATTAGCACGCTCTTACTTTATGTAAATCAGCTGTTGAACATATCACGTCTGATTCCGAGCTCTAATGGAGGCTGGACTTTAATTACACACTAGCATGATAGAAACATTAAGTCTATACGGGCTTCAAGATGGTGGACTACAGCCAGCAAGTCCTCAGTGAGAGATTTTTGCACATTTATGTATTTCAGTGTCTATTTGGAGTTCCTCCATAATTAATAAGGCTTAATTGGCTCAGTTGGACATGCCAGCAAACTGAGGCCAGATTGAGAATTCCTTTTAACTTGATTGTAATGGAGAGGGGGGTGCAATTCAAATAATGGATTTTTAATAGATTCCTCTGACACACTCAAGTGTAAAGGACTAATTTGCCCAAACCTTGTGTCAAGCTCTCAAAAGTAAGAGTGGATGGAGGTGGAGTGGGAGTTCTCGTGTTGATCTTCTTACTTTGGCTCGCCGTCCTTTCATGTCGGCTCCTGTCACTGCTGCGTGGCTCATCTGCTTTCTTCATCGCTCTCCCTCCGTCTCGCTCGCTGTCTTTCTCTTTCAGCCTCCGGTTCAGTAGTCCTACCACCCTCTCCTTTCTCTCTCTGTCGTTCCCACTGTTGTTTTCCATCTTTCATCTAATCCATCAGCTCCTAACCGCCTTCCTGTCTCTCTCTCTTTCTCCCTGCATCTCTATTTGCGCCTTCCCTGCGTGCTACTTGTCTCCAGTTTCTTTTCCTTCCTCTCGTCCATCTGTCCGCCTCTTCTCTGTCTTTCTCACTCCGTCTCTGCGAGGTCTGAGAGGTCATCCCTCATGGTGAGAGGTGTGAGAGGTGATAAGCAATTCTGCCTGTGCTGCTGTTCACTTTCAGCTCCGGCTGGGCTAAGTGTGTACGTGTGCATCTATCTGTATGTGTGTGTGTGTGTGTGTGTGTGTGTGTGTGTGTGGAGTGTGTAGATGGTGTACGACAGTGGGAGAGACGGTGTTATCTAGCTCGGATAGGGCCAGGCTGTTGTGTCACGACACATTAAGGCACTTCATCCATCTAACCCGAGCCGAGGCTGGCCATCAGCTGTGGTAACACTCACGCACACATGCGTGCAATCAAAGGTGCACAGATGCCGACATGTGCTGACAAGACATTCACACACACACACACACACACACATACGCCTCCAGCCTAACAAATAACACCGGGGGAAGGTGTAAAAGGTGGGGAGAAACAGAGAGACGGAGAGGGGAGAGTGCCAAGGGCAGAGGGAGGGAGATTTGGCCAGTGTTTTGTGGCCATGCAGCAGCAGATAGAGGAGGGATAGGGTATCACTCCCTAACCCCAAACACATTTACAGCTGACACCATGATTAATGAGCCTGGTGCCGCGCTACAGGGCCTGTTCCTGGACCCATTAGACCCCCTCCCAACTGCCCAGCTACATCTAACTCCCCCTCCCCACCGATGCTGGACCCCTTCCATCTGGACAAAGCCCACCTGGGGATACCCCGGATGACACCCATGTGCACAATACAAACACGTACATGTGCGAAAACAGGTCGCCTAAAACAGATGCAACAATAAGTGGTCGTATACCTTTAGATACTGAAAGTATGTAAACATTTAAGCACCCAACGCTAAAGATTGGTTTGTCCCTACACTCACCTTTCCCCAAAGTCACCCAAAACCGCAGACGTAGTTTGTAGTGATTTATTGTTACGTTTTTTTTTTTTAAGGGAGAAAAAGGGGACAGCAGAAATGAATGTCCTTTCTGTGTTATTAGAATATAAAAGTCATTGTGTGTGTAACTGGGTGTGTGTGTGTATATATGTGTGTGAGAGAGGTGAGTATTATTGCAATTTCCTGCAGCAATTTCATTTTTCCAAAATAGTTTAAGGTCTCCCCAAACCAAATTACATCCACCCCATCATTTGAAAATGGAGCAACTCTCATCCTACACTTATGTGTGTTAAAAAAAAAAAAAAAAGTAAACAGAATAACATGCTTGACATACATTTGGTGACCACGCCCTCCAGGTGGATGATGTTCGGGTGGTCGAACTGGCCCATGATGCTGGCCTCGGACAGGAAGTCCCTCCTCTGCTTGTCGGTGTAGCCGGCCTTCAGCGTCTTGATGGCCACGCAGATCTCCCTCTTGCCCGGCATCTTCAGGCGGCCGCTGCAGACCTCGCCAAACTCCCCTGCAAACACACGCTCAGGTTGAAAATGTGGAATGATGATACACAAGCACTCTGATACTACAGTGTGCGGATTATAAATCATATCAAGAGCACGCATGTGTGTGTGTGTGTGTGTGTGTGTGTGTGTGTGTGCAGGTTAGAAGGGGTCCACTTTAAACATTGATCAGGGTCTCTAATCCCTCACTCCCCTCCTCCCCTCACCCACTGGAGCAGAGAGAGAGGGGAAATGGATATTGATTCTTTCTCTTTATTATTTTGTCATTGGATGACTTTTCTGTGGCCACAGCAATGGAACCGACAACATATTTAGCCTCCTCTGATTTTCATTTATTTATTTTTTTACTCGCTGACCTCTCTGGAGACACACCAAATGTTACTGTCTGGACAAACAATGTTTTTTATTCACAAGGAGCGCACATGAGAGCGGCCGCGCACAGACACGAATCACTGAGAGAGATATGCCGGCTGCAAAATATTTGCATGAAATGAATACCAAATATACTATTATCCCATTAGGCGGATGCTTTTATCCAAAGTGTGTTACAACATGCCTTACTGTCATAACACTGCATTTATAGTAATTGATGAAAAATGACAGAATGAACTGAGGTCACTGGATTGAAAACAAAACGCAGCTCCTCACCGATGCCAATGACTTTCTCGATCTTGATACAGGAGGCGTCGATCTCTTTGGCGAACTCACGGACAGCTTGGTTTGGGTCCTCATAGGTAAAGGGGTCAACGTATATCCTTACTCCTGTGGAAAAAAAAAGTTTGGGAATAAAGGAAGGAAAGAAGAAAAAAAAGGCAGTGAAAAATGAAGGTTAATTCATTCCGGCAAGTAGACTCCATCTGTTCTTTATTTCCATCATGCTGCAGGCTACACCGCCTTCCTCTGTGGAACCTCCTCCTCCTCTTTTCTTCTCCCCACAGCTCGCTCCACACTCTGACTCCATTGCTTTTCATGTCACTATGGCTGACTCCAGTGAAGATGGAGCTCATTAACTTGAATTTTTTTTTTGTGGGGCACAAATAACAATGCTGATGACTTGATAATGAGGTGTTTGGAACATGTTAGGATGCAAGAACATTAACTTCAAAATAGTTTGTTTTTCTCTCCCCCCCTCATTCTATGGGCTTCATTTGCGGTTTTAGAGTGCATGCACATGAGCGCACCTGACAGCGCTAATGTTTTTCAATTATAGAGTGTGTAGGTGGAGTGTTAACTGTGAGTTACCTTGATGTAAGTGCTTCTCTTCATCAGAGTCCTGCTTGGCCTTGCTGTATTTACTCCTTCTGGGGGCAAAGACAGCAGGACGGTCAGTTGCAGTGACAACAACACATGGAGAACTTTAAGTTTAAAACATCAGGGAGGATGTGTCAGGGGGAAAAAGCATTTGCATGTCGTGTAAGAACAAAATATATATATATATATATATTAGTATTAATAATAATAGAACACAAGTGTCAATTCAGTAAACCCTAATTAAAACTTAAACTGGGACTCCAACCCACTTATACATCAATTAAATTAAGTAAAGTGGCGACACAATCACTGATTACTGATCAGACATTGATATTCATGTTTGATATTAATTATTCATTAGAGGGGAGCTCATTACAAAGACAGAAACTGCTCTTGAATGCCAACCCAATGTTATTTTTAGATATGGTTTGCGACTCTTAATTGCTCTCAGTAGGAGGATAAAAGACTCAAAAGAACAGTTTAACATTTTGGGAAGAAAGCATAAAAGCTTCCTTGTTTTATGAGAAGAATCAGAATAAGAAGACTGATAACACTTTAATGTTTGTCTGTTAAATATGTTATACTGTCCTCATGCACTGTTCATAAGTACACCTAGAAAAAGTAATGCAACACAGTTCTTATATAACCCACGTTATTGGGAGGGTTATGATCACATGAACAATGTGCTGGCGGAAATAAAGAAGGAGGTAGTATAATGATTGAAAGTCAGCCTGAGGACACAGGTTGGGGTGGTGGACGGGTTTTAAGGTACATTGTCGTCATGTTTCTTTTCCTAAACCTAACCTATGCCACTCTACTTGCCTAAACCACTCATAACTTTACTTGCCTACACCTAACCTACGTAAGTTACTTGCCTGGACCTAATCTTTGTTTCTTAACTTGCCTAAACCACTCATAACATTACCTGCCTAAACCTAACCTACATAACTTTACTTCACAAAACCTAACCTACATAAGTTACTTGCCTAAACCTAACCTATGAAACTTTACTTGACAAAACCTAACCTACATAAGTTACTTGCCTAAACCTAACCTATGTAACTTTACTTG